GATACCAACGAAACGCAATTACAGTCAAATGGGAGAAGATTCGCTTGCAGTGGTATTTGTTGTCAAGAAACCCCACAAAATGATTTACGGTTGTCATTTCACACTCCACACAGAACACAAACCACTAGTTGGAATTTTCGGTTGGAAAAAAGGCATCCCGGTATACAGGGTGAACTGTCTTTAGAAAAAAACCGCTCAGCAGTAACAACCTTTCGGTGCCCGACTACCATGCTACCCGAAGGAAGCACGAGGGCTGGGATACTGCCAGGTTGTCCAAGCCTAGAAAGGGGAAGTCGAGAGGCAGAGGTCGGATTCGAGCCACGGACCTTCCAGTTAGTAAATTCGCGCTCTAACCACTTGAACCATCTTCAGCGCTGGGCGATCATTTGCCTTGGCTACGATTTTCCAATCAACTATCAATCTACGGATAACTATGGCCAGGCACACGGCTTATCAAGACTGATGGACTCACAAAGACAGCCTGCAGAAGACACAGCTGTGGCTTCCATTTCTATCGAACCGGAAGTTCGCTGCATCCATTCAAGCCCTTCTGGTTACTTCAAAAATGGTCCGTGACGAAACCAGATGTGACCCCGTACTTTGACAAGTATTACACTATCACGGAACACGCTGGCCATCGTCAGTGACACGCGATATTGATTTCTTGTTTTATCAACGATTTTCATTGTCCGAGGTCGATGGAACCTTCTCTTCCGTGGACGCGTTATAATACAAACTAACCTGTAAGCGCGAGTACTAAAACAGTTTCATTTTGGACACACAGGCAACGACCGCATGAAAGCCTTGGCGCGAAGTCATGCATACTGGCCGGTTGTGGACAAACAGCTAGGAGAAATTGTGCAGTCCTGTTCAAAATATCAGTGTCCTATAAAATCGCCGGGGAAGACTGAGTAATCTTCGTGGCAAGCAACAACTAACCCTTGGTCGGGTCTACTTATTGATTTTGCTGCACCAAGCAACAGTCAGCATTATCTTATCATGGTTGACGCTTACACCAAATGACCGAAGATAATCATGATGGATCACATCAATTCTCGCCCCACAATCCTCCGGCTCACTCGCACATTCACTCGCATCGGTACGCCAGCAAAACTGATTTTGGATATCAAAAGTGCATTGACGTCGACAAAATTTGCCTTGTTTTGCAAGTAAAATGGCATTCACCACGTTAGATCGCCACCACTCACCCTCAATCAAACAGCCAAGTTGAAAGCTTTGTTGACACTTTCAAACGAGCATTTTAAACACTTAAAAGGGATTGAACGTTAATGAAGATTATTGAAACCTTGTTACACTACCATGCGACACCTAACTTAAATGTGCCAAACAACAACTCACCCGCAGAAGCATCCTTTTGGGCGTAAAATCTGTTAACCCATAGACGTGGCACGCCAATCTCCTCCGCATTCACAAAAAAGGAGCACAAATGGAGTGACAGTCCAATCGCAATCACGGTACCGTCCATACTGCCTATAAACAGACAACCCCCAGTCGAATCCATATACACACCAAGACACTGGTCCAGCCGTAAACAGAAAATCATTAGCAACAATGCAGGTGACTTCAAATCTGAAAACCTACTCATGTTTTGAAAGGGACGGTCAGATCATAACGAACAATTCGACCTTTTTAAAGCTTTTGCTGATGTTTCATTTCCCCTCTATTATAGCCAACTGACCCCCGACCTAAAACTGCCACCTTGACGTGGTGGTCGGGCTTGAGTGTTTCAATGATCCCGCGGGCCACCCTGGCTGGAACGTCTTTCCACAAGGTGCAACCATGCCAGGAAGGCCAAAGGGGAGCAGGCAGACCAAGAGCAGCGAGATCCCGTGCTACGAGGAGGTCCGGGGGTAAAGTCGTACTGTTCTGTGCGGCAGGAGTGTGAAGGCAGTAAGGTGTTTCCCCAGGCGACCAGCACGTCCATATTTATGGAAGCAGCGATGCTGCCTTCCCCCGAGAAAGGACGGGTTAGAAAAGATCGGCTCCAAAAGCCGCACACTCCGATCGCCCAACGGTTGACCGTGACCGCCGGTGCATTACCCAATACGGTCGAAATACTTTTAAAACCAAAGAGCCCGGTGCTGCTCAAAAGGCACCTGCTGTGCGCAGCCGCATCAGGAATGAGACAGTAATGCCTTATTCCCTGCGCCCTCGGGTTAGGCCAACCCCCTGCAGTCGGGCAGGTCAGACAATTGAGTCATTGGCTCCAGGCAGTCCGCAAAGAAACCCCTACTGCCCGCTGCCTTGTGGTTCAGGTTTCTGAGTCAAAGGCTCAAGGTGGGGTACCTTAACCAAACCCCCTTCCTCGGCCTGGGCAACCGGTAAGTATCATTTGCCCGCGCAGTTCAGCGTCCACCGATGTCCCTCCCCAACCCCTTCCCACTGCACAAGCAAACGTCGCTGGGCCATTTGACTGTCAGTCATCTGACCGAAGGGCCTTAGGCTCCTTGCTGCCTGTAAACGTTAAACAAAATAACATCTTTCTAAATCCACGAGATCCCTTCTATATAGGAGCTTTTGACGTCCATACTCTATGTAAGGTTAGCAAACAAGCAATGCTTGTTGAAACCTTGTACTCCCTTAAAATCGATGTAAGCTGTGTCTCCGAAACACGCATACAAGTCTCGAGCGTGGTTCTGCATCTGAGAACACCAAGGATGAACTCAGCTCTTTCACACTTCTCCCTCCGTGTGTCCGGTGACCCAGAAGCGATGACTCGTGGAATATATGGCGTGGGAGTTGCACTCAGCCCCAGAGCTGAACGCGCTTCACTAGATTGGATCCCAGCGAACAGTCGTCTCTGCGCCGTCCGGCTATCCAGTTCAATCAAGCTCAATGCCTCGCGGCCAGTTTGTAGTGTCGGCTTATGCCCAAACGGACTGCAGTTCTGATGCGGAGAAGGATATTTTCTATCTAAAGCTATCCGGACTCATTCGTCAGGCAAAAGGCATTGACATTGTGATCCTTGCAGGCGATTTAAATGCTCATGTAGGTCGCCTGAGTCTCTTGGAATCACAGTTGGGTGGTCGATCTGGAGTCGATGCTCGCCGCACAGACAACGGAGATCGACTCCTTCAGCTGTGTGCTGATCACGAACTGTTTCTGGCAAGTACGAACTTTCAACATCAACATTCGCGTAACCTGGCGGCCGCCAACCACAAATCAACCGTGGACCCACTTGGACCACGTGGCCATCACCCACCGGTGGAGAGCCACAACTTAACACTGCCGTTCCTTCTCGGGCACACCGCTTGATTCCGATCACGCCATGGTGCGCGCACGCCTGACAGTTCGTTTCCCTCCAGGCCCTCGCAAGTCGGAAAGAAGCATGCCAATCCACCAGCTTCGAAGAACTACCATAGCTCGACAGTATCGGTCTGAGGTAGCCCAACAACTCTCCATAGTAGAACAATACTGTGGTAGCCGTGAGGATGTGGGTGAAGCGTGGCAAAATGTTAGAGCTATGCTAGCGGCGTTCAATGCTGCCTGCCCGACTTCTCAAATTCGACCACAAGACCATTGGATGTCGTCGAGATCGCTATCCATAATTGATGCCAGGAAAGCCATATCAGCGAGCAACGAGTTCGACGGCGCACGCAAATCCCTCGAACACCAAATAGTGACGAGTCTAAGGAAGGACCGAGAGCTCTAGTGGACGTTGAAAGCTCGGGAGATGGAGAAGGCTTTTCCTACGAGAAACAGCCATGCCATATATCAATTGATACGATCAACGGGCCCTAGGAAAGCAACGGTCAGCGAAACAATAAGTGAAAAAGATGGCTCGTTGATTCACTCGCAAAAATGTTGACTGGAAACATGGGTCGAACACTTCGAAGAGCTGTTCTGCTGGCCTCCTGCAACACAGCCGGTGGAGATAATGAATATGGCGAATGGGATGTAAACCTTGACCGCCCTTCGGAAGAAAGTAGGTACGAAATAGCCCTACTGAAACGTGAGAAGGCACTAGGACCGGACGGTCTGTATCCAGCCCTCTTCAAAGAAGGCGGAAAATCCCTGGTGACCCATCTGACAAAGCTTATTGGTGCTATACGGGACGAAGAGGAAGTGCCTGCAGAATGGGGCACATCGACAGTTATCCCTATCCTCAAAAAGATACGCGGCACTGTGTGAAAACCACAGTGCTGCCGGTCTGTTAGCTGTGACATCGAAGGTGCTCTCTGGCCTTACACTTCTAAGGTTTACTGAACACAGAGAGAGGCAGATCCGTGAAAATCAAGCAGAGTTCCGTCCAGCAAGAGGATGCTTCGATTATATCTTCAACCTCCAATAGATCATGGAACAGCGACAACCAACAATGACTGCGTTCCTTGATCTGAAAGCTGCCTTTGACTGTGGACCGTCAGACACTACGGCAGTGTCTGTGAAGCAAAGTCGTCCCCCATGAATTCTTGAATCTCCTTAAGGCGCTGTACGTCAACTCCAGTGCACGTGTGATGCTCTCGCCTGAATTCACCACATCAAGTGGTGTCGAGCAGGGCTGTCTTTTGTCACCTTTCCTCTTCAACTTCGTCATTGGTACGATCATGGAAGATTCACTACCAGTCTCTAATGTTTGTGGGATCGAAGTGCTCCCGGGGCATCCGCTCACAGATATCGAGTAGGCAGGTGGCATAGCTCTTCTTGGATCAAGTGCATTGTCACGTATCACGTATGCCAGTCGACCGACTTCCTCGAAGGGCTCTTTTCGCACAACCACGTGAAGGGTGGAGATGAGCCAGAGGCGGTCAAACAATGAATTTACAGCGAAGTGTGAAAGCCATCAACAGCAAACTCAGCTGCGCGGGTCATTGTCGTCCTCCTGGATGGGGACCTCGAGACGGGTCACATCAATGGTTAGGGACATTGTCAGACATAGCCCAGTCGCGCCCTCAATGGCGCTCGTGCATCCAAGCTAGTGCCTTCAATGCATAACTCCCTTGCCAATCCCCCCACTTGACAGCTCACTGAGTGCTGGATTTATGCACCAATTTATCATCTCCCGCCTGCAGTGCGCGGCTACCTACCCCTCCTCCAAATCATTGGTGAACGAAACTGCGGCAGCTACAACCACTGTACCACGAGTACGCGGTTATTGCAGCCGACAATGATGATGATGAGCCAACTGAGCCGCAGAGCTCTTACATTTATTTGTTTATCAGCAATAGGGCCCACTTTTATCCGGTGTCCTTGATCTTCTTCCTTGAGATTTTCTCACTCATGTACTTGGACTATCATACGCGATAGAATAAGTTCCACCAATCTCCCACATCACTCAGCTAACAGTCACAACGTAAACAAGCCGTCAAACCACATTACGGACCAGTTTCGTCGTGACAGTGGATTAGGTGTCTGTACCGATCTAGAAGGCAGACACGCTGACTGAAAAGGCATCTGTCGATGCCATCCGAATGGATGTTATATCGCTATCCTTTTGGAAGGCGTGCACTTCTCTGTTGACCTCTTCCAAACAAACAGCTAGAATGGCCATCCATCTCGTATCGTAAACCCGGACAAGCTCCAGGTGGGCTTTCAGGCGCATTTAGTTGATTAACACCGTCTTTATATGTTTAGACTTGAAAGTCCTGATGCCTCGCCGAGTTTGGCCACTAACAATCTAACCCAGCTCCCAGTTCGGCTTTCTGATTTCTCTGGTAGACATATAGTCTGGGTCCATGATGTAACTTCGTTCACGGTTGTAATACGTTCGATGAAGGCCCTCCATGCCTCATCCTTGCTCGGCTTTTAAGGAAGTCCCGATGTATCTGAACCCATAGAGTACAAATGCGACGGTCACCGTTAATTCTTGTTACAGCACACAACACATAGTGAAAGTCCGCCGCAGTCAAGCTGTGTCGGGTGGGGAGAAATTCGCTCTGATCTCATCGTTAGTTACAACACGGTAGAGCACGCAGGGAGCAGAAGGGCCTCGATGACGAGTGGGACGCTTTAGAGTGAGACGAAATGTACAAGGCTTGCAGGCGATCCTTGAGCGCACACGCACACGTGTCCTGGCCTGGACTAGATAAGAGTACGCTAGCTAAAACAAGGCTAGGAAGGCTGCCATAATCCTATAGTCACCGGGCATCGTGCTTTCGGGTGGGCGGTGAGTGACAGCAAAGAGTCACCTGTCACTACTCATTGATGATAATGTACCGTTTTCTACTGAAAGACTTTAATGATAGGCTGTCAAATAATGTACCGTTTTCTACTGAAAGACTTTCAGTTGGTGTGCAGTTTAAGAAGCTGCTTTCGTAAAGGATGATTTTTTACCCTTTGTTTGTTTGTTTGGTCTGACAGTCTGCCATTCAGAATCAGAAGTCAGCCACGTTTTATTTAGAGCGATTCAGTTCCTGTGCAAACTACAAGCGATTTGGTGCAGCAGCAGGGCAGTTGGGAGGTGGTGAGGTCCAGGACCTTTCAGTAGTCAGGTTGTTCAGGTTTTTTATCGCCAGGTGTTGTGGAGGGTCCTTAGATGCTTTCGCGGTCATGTATGATATCGTGGACATCATATATCATCTATCATCATATATATCATCTATCATCATATACGATAGATGATATTGGGTACCGCTAGATGGAAACGAACTTCGGGGGTGGATAACTTTTGAGTGATTGAGCTCCTCCACATGGGTGCGTGGACGTAGGACTAGACTTGGGTATCTGCGGTTCAAGTAAATGGAGACGTGAGAAATTCATCGTCATTATACCGCGACTTGGTGACAAATTTGGACAAAGTTCCACTCAGTAAATTCATGCCACGAAGCTGGATAATTTATCTTGAAGTCCTGGAGTTCGTAAGGTTTTGGCGTTCTAGATCTGGAACTCCGAAAATGAGGACACATATTGCCTCGTTGTAGTTAGGTGGCGAATGACCCAGCGCTCTGTGCATCATAGGGTAAGATATCCAGCTCTGGAAAGTGTGCAGCCAACTGGTAGGTAAGCAGAAACTTGGTAACGAAAGCTACCTGTCCCAGCAAAAAAGTGATAGTTTGGGCTTGGATTACACACTCTAACCATCGCACACCCGTGAAATCGGTGCTTTTCGCTCCAAGTAACTTTCGGCTAAATACAATGCAATCGTTTAGCTGTGGCGCCCTGTAGACGGGTAGCTGCCAGGCTACCCGAAGGAAGCACGTGTAAGGAAGTTAGTTACCGTCAAGATGCATGTGTGGGACCTCCGCGCCTTCCTGGCTGGGGCCCAACAGATCATGCTTGTGGTAGGCTAGAAAACTTGTGGGACATAGTACGCAAATCATCGGAGTAGCACACACTATCATTTCCTAGCTGGACTGCGCCGTGAGCCTAGACCATCTTGGTGTCTCGGTAAAGTTCAAATATCCTTGCGCTTTGGGCTTAGGATGAGTGATTTTCGCAAATAACGTTGGGTGCATCGCGTTGATAGCGCCTTGCCTCGCCACGATATCCAGATGTGTTCATTTTACTGCTACCCACAGGTATCGGAATTTCATCACTGATGGATTTCCATAACGGCATGGAACTTATTCGCGCTAACTCCCCAGCCTTCACTTCTCGTTCCCCTCCTTGCCAAAGCTTCCTGTCCGAGGGGGTTGTATGGCAGGTAAGCGCCAGTATGCATCACTGGTACATTCCTGTCAATGAAGTTGACAATGAGAGCCCCGACAGCTCTGCCATTCACCTTTAGGTGCAGCAACGGCCGATAAGCGCAGCTCCAATGTGATTGGTCCAAACACAGGCTCACGGATTCAAGGATTCACGCATTCATACACAGGATCGAGGCTTTTGCCCAAGTTCCCGGGTCGCTTTTGTTCTTGTCAGTCAGTGACTGTCGTTCACCTGAAAGGCACAAGTGAAAAAAGAGTGTAGCGCTCATCTTTATGTTCTCAGCGCGGGGCATGGTGCTTGCAAGCGCGAGGATTCACATAAATAAATGTCTAATAGTGCTTTAAATTGGGTTCTAGAAGGAGCGTGGACAAACGTTGGAGAAAGGTCATTCTAGGAGCGGTCTGACGTAGGCCCAATAGATTGTTTAGAAGTCCATGCGAGTAATACGGGAGAAGGTGGGTAGGAACATCCGTAAAATGATCCGACGGATTATCGGGATCCGGATGTTTGCCCAAACTCCCTGCTCTCTTTTGTTCCTGTCGTTCAGCGGCTTACAAAGCCAGTTGAAAAAATACAGTAGCATTGCTTTTAAGGCTCCACTTTGGAATGTAAGTCCATTGGCGCAAGACATAAACAGCTTTGGTTTTACTTCTTAGAAGCTGAACTTCGAATGTAGAATGAAGTGATCAGGACAGGGGGCGGACATTCTCATATGTTCCCACTTGAGTGCAACATATGTGAACATAAGAACCACCGAAACAATTCGTCGGTAACATAACCATTAAACTCGACCGTTTCGTGCACGCTAACCAAATTAACACTCAATCTGCACCTAGAAATTTTAGGCTGCTGAATCACAAATAAATTGCTCCCGCGTATTTCATCAGAATGATTTACGCATGTTTCTAGCCGAGACGCTGTCACTCCGTAAAAGTGGATCAAATTCACAGGAAGAGCTAATTTTGCTGATTCACCAAAAATCATGTATGCTGGGGCAGGGCTGGTGGGGGGCTATTCTGTTTTGCTGTTTAGCTGATGAAGTTCATCAAGATCAAGCTCATCGCACAACCCACTTTTCGGTCTCGCAGATTTTATAATCCGCCACGTTGAATAGTTGCATAGTAACCGCAAGTGCGAACACATTTTTAAGACGCCGTCACCCCTGCTAGTTCCTCCAGAGTGCTGTTGCTCCTCGCACACGGTTGGTCCATGGTTAGAGACGTGGTCATCCATTTTATCCTGAAAGATTTCCTCATGTATTCGTACAGGAGATAGAATTGTTCGGGTACGAAACCACCGTCGTCTGCTTACTGAATTTCGGAGTCAGCCCGAAAAACCAAATGGTTGTCAACCGAGTATTGCGCACAATAGGGGTGTAGTGTGTGCCAAACTTCTGCAGGTTTAGCAGCCAAGCATTACATTGGAGAGGAAGGAGGTCTGTGAATTGGCATTTATAAAAATTGGTTTCGCTCAGGCGACTGTATGGTTGTCTTACGATCTTGGCAGTTGCTTGTAAGCGTCTCTACATTGACGGTGAAGACACTATCATTGAGCGGTCAGTTCGTTTCCTCTTCGTTTCTGATTCCGTTTGCGTATTTTTTAAAAGAGTAATTGATATATCCAAACGCGACAAGGGGATTCGCTGATTGGCACACAGAATCTAGGCTCTCCTCAAGTATTCTAAATCCGGGTTTATTCTTGCCGTTCAACTGACTCCCTTTGCCCAAAACGAACATGCCGGAAGGTGGTGTAATGACGCTGTTCATGTTCTAGGCGCCGGGCAATCGCCTAAGAAAATCCTCAGGATTGTTGTGATATTGTTTCTTGATGCCGCGCAAACAACCGTCAGAAGGAGTTATCACGCAATAACTAGCAAAAATGAAAAATAATCAATTTAAAAAAGACGTGCGTCCCGATTTTGAGAATTATTCTACATTAAGCATTAAGGAGCCTTAAGGACATTTTATCCAAATCTTGTTCAACCACGAGAAACGTGAGTGATGGACTTCCTCGGAGGTAACGGTAATTTAGGGGCGAAACTTCAAATACTTCGAAACACGCTTCATAATCAACGAATTTGTCGTCGCTACCAACTGTTGCACCAACATCCTGGACACGCTCAGTTAAGACTGTGTCCTTGCTGTTTCCTGTGTAGGCAACTTGCTCTATTCAAGAAGCGACTTTCCGTATTCCCCTCAGAGCATCTGAAAATCTACGCATGTAAATCACAGAACAATGAAAGCCCTTTGCTTCGGTTTTTCATGGAGGACTGAGATGGACAGTTTGACGAGATTTAGGTGCCTAGATCCATTTTATCAATCCTCGCAATTTTGTTCGCCTCACTCTTAATGTGTACGATGTAGATGTCCGCTGGGTCTCCTCTGAACCTCGATAAGATGTGCTCTTCATGGTTAAAAGGAAAGTGCCATTCCACTGACCACTGTTTTGTGACATCGACTTCCATTTTGGGGTCACCGTTTTTGGAGCTCCAAGATTTCAGATCATCCGGAAAAGGTAGGCGTGATCATAAAGGCGCATCTTTTAAGACGTAAATTAATTGGGCTGTTGGCTCCCAAACTGATCCGTGAGGAGTTTCGATAGCCACTAGTTGTGAAGAGTCGGTCAGGCGTAATTTTTTTATCGGAACGTTATATCTGACAACAACGCTATAATCCAGTTTACGCTTTTTATTCCCATATGACTAGGCGTTGTGGAGCAACTGATTGTGCATGAATAGGTCGGAGGATTTTGAGAGGTCGGAAAATAGGACAAATGGTACGATTATTTTGCCTCTTGTTTGACTCATACTGACCAATAACACGAGCATCATTGTCATGCAAATGCGTTTTTGGAGGAATTTCTCATGCACTGCAAATGTTACTTATTTGACAGTCAGGTGATTCGAGAATGCGTTCCCTTACATGCCAAGGTATGCCAACGAGCCTAGTCGGCTTGAAGCCTGACTAGGCTCACACAAGGTTGCAGATTAGCGCGACGATGGCTTGCTTCTAGGGAGGGGGAAGACTGTATTCGTTGGGGGGCTGGCGAAACACAAGAACGAGATAGTATGCCACTGTGACAGATGTTTCTCTCGGCTCCACGAGTAAACCTCATCCAAGATATTCGTCTTATGCAAGAGTCAACTAGCCTCCCCTTCCAAGAGTGGGGTCTGTTAGTATTTACGCCTTAATAATTATAATGTGTTGAGATTACTGGGCCAGAATGCAGCCCGCATTGTGTTCTACCAGACACATCTTTGGCTCACTCACAGATTCTCTTTCTGTCCCCCAAAAAGGATTACATTTGGCCAGCAGGAGGGCTGGCGGGGTTGGTTTATATTCACGCGCGGCCATGCTCATCCCGATTGCCGGCTATGATACCACTCCTGCACTCTTAGGCTATGCAGTGTTGATACAGATCACGCTGCGCGAGACCGATTCACGTCTTCTCGGCGTGGTAATTTTTGCCCCTCGAGTCCTCCAGCAGATGACCGATTCCGCACGAGGAACCGTACGAAACCCTCCTGCTGCTAACAACTCACGCACAACTATAGCGCCGTCAAGACTTCCTGGATGGAGCTCCAACGCGTCGGGTTCTGTGGATATATCCAGCGGCACTGGCTGAAGTCGTTCAACAGTGTTTGGACTCCATCGTCGTTGCAGCCAACGGGGACCGCCCAAGCCAACTACTATCCCTCCTGGATTCGGTTATTATCAACGAAAGATATTTCGTTGATCGCGTGATAAGTAACGCTCCACCAGGACACAGCGACCACCGTGGGCTGGCCTTCGATTTCCGTTAATATTGGGCCAGAAACCCCAAATCTCAAACGTAAATTCGAAACTTTGGTAGCCCAGACTTTCCAGGGATGCGCATCTTTCCTGAACAAGGTAAACTGGGACCAGCTTCGATGAAAGACTTGTACAGGATCGTTGTCCAGAAAGTTCACAAGGCTGGAGCGATAGTCGTCACAAAGAAACCAGCACTCAGTCGGATTAACCGCAGGCTACATAAAAGTATTCGGTGTCTCCCGGAAATGAGGTCACTACTTTTCAAAAAGTTGACTACTAGAGACAGAACATGTTCTGGCCTTTTGTAGAGTGCGGAACCGCTGTAAATCAGAAAGCCGCTAGTAGGGCATGTAAAAACAAAGCATCATTCTGGATCTCGCGCAGGTAAAGAAAATATTATGCTGTCCAGCTACACGCGATATCGCCGCAGAAACAATCCATTCGCGCTCTCCTTGAAGGACAGGATTACAGAAACCACAAGTGACCCAACAGTAGTATCTGAGGTTTGCATAGACCAATATATTAAGTCCCAGCGTTCTCGTCGCATCTAGTCTTGTCAAGGCGTGACTAAGAAAAGCCTCTAACCAACTTGGTCTTCACGGTGGAGGACATTCGTCAGCTCTTTCACAAGATCAAACTATTCTGCGCTTTGGAGCCCGACGAGGTCCTTCAAAGGATTCTGACGAAAACGTCGTTTACACTGGTGAATAATTTATTCCCAGTGTTTCGTCAGTCGTTTGACGATAGCCGCAGTTTCTCTGCTTGGAAGGGAGCGATTGGCACACCAACCCACAAAACTGGTGACCGACAATCGCCCGAAACCATAGGCCTAAAAGCCTCACTAGCGTGCCGGAGAAGATGATGCAGCGCTATTTGAAGCGATCCATCCCAGAGCATCTCACTTCTAATAGCTTGATATCTTCGGCGCAGCACGGATTTATCCAAAACCGTCTTGACATGCTCTTGCTTATGGACAGCCTAACCCAAGCCGAAGGCGAGGGGTTCATACTGGATGCCATGTTTTTCAACTTCTCAAAAGCATTTGATCGGGTCCCGCAAGTCCATGTCTATTTTCTTCGGATGACTTGAAATACCAGTGCCCTCCAAACGGATGTAGGCGCTTCGAAGCAGTGGTCACTGGCCTGGTACATTGGCCTGAATGACGAAGCGTGCGTCCGTGTGTCACTTGGTGCAGACTCAGCGGATGCCTTTTGTCAAGTCTGGCTAGAATGGACCAGAAGACCTTACAAGGATAGTGGCCGAAACGGATAAATTTCCAAACACTCTTTGGGGCTTACGTCAAACCGCTCCTGGAGTAAGCCAACCATGTTGTCTATCAAGCACGGAGAAAACCGCCACACTCATTAACCGCGTCCAGCGAACCGCTACGAAAATCGTTGCCAGGCATAAATCCGTGAATTTCGAAACGCGTCTCGCGATGCTTGATCTTTTTTCCTTGGAGTACCGTCG